TTGGGAAGCTGGTTTAGCAGGGAGGAAACCTGGGGAGTGGAGGGAAGCGGGGTCTCTGTCCCGCGTTAACCTGTTAGGGAATACACACACTTGTTCCTTTTTGTTTTGCCAGTCCCGGTGCTAGATACTTGGGGATTTTTTTTTTTTTTTTTTTTTCCCTAAAAGAAATAACTTCTCAAAAACGAAGCATTAAATAAATAAATAAATAGGTGAAGCTGAAGTCGGGCAATTACCACTACCCTTATTATCATCAATAATCCGAGTATTAGCATTACAATAATAATCCCAATAATAACCACCGCCCGGCGGAGCACAGAGAAAACTCGATTGCCTTCCAGCTGCCATGCCCGGTTCCAGCCGTGTTTGTTTTTCTTGTCTTTCCTTTTACATTTCAAGTTTGTCTCCTCGCGCGCTCGCTAACAACTTTCTCTGTTAAATGCTAGAGCGGGGGAGGGAGGCGGCCCAACTTTCCGCAGAGCAGAAAGGCCGCGGCGGCCCGGGCTGCGGCCGGGGCCTGCTGTAATCTTTTATTCCAAAATGGGTCTCGGCGATTAGAGGAGACCCAAATACATGTAGCGGTGCATGAGTAATGCTCATTGTAGGAAACTGACACTTGCTCAAGGAAAAAAGTTTGGCTATAAAATCACTTCATTATTTGCTTTTACCGCAGCTTCGGTGCTAATCCCTTCAGAGGTCAGATTGCTTAGTATCCCTCTCTCCCTCTCCCCTTCCTCCGCCCTCCTCTCCCTCTCTCCCCTTCCCCCCTTTTCTCTTGCTGCAATTTCAGGCCGCATTTTAGACATCCCCTGTAAAGTGTGCGGTGACCGCAGCTCGGGGAAACACTACGGGGTCTACGCCTGCGACGGCTGTTCCGGGTTTTTCAAACGGAGTATCCGAAGGAATCGGACCTATGTCTGCAAATCTGGAAACCAGGTACCTTAGCTAGGCTGTGCGGCCCTGTTCTTCTCTGCCACCTCCTCCCCTTTGTGCCAAGGACTCGTCTGAGTTTGCAAGCTGCTGAGGAGAGGAGACTGGGCCCAGACCTCCCCCTTCCTCTCCTCATTCCTGCCTCAACTCTCTGGGGCCCTTTTGCTTGGGAAAGGCGGGAAGGGCTAAGAAAGGCAGTTTGTTAGGAAGTTGGAAACCCCAGCACTGCCTCCACTCTCTTTTTCTAATCCTCTGACAGTTTTGACTCTGGGTGAGGTCCACACCCAGTATTATAAAGGCAGCCCAGGGGGCCTAAGGAGCTTTAGAATCTAAACCACAAGTTAACAAGCTGGAGAAAGGGCTATGTTATATTGTCTCCCCACTCCCATTCCTGGCTCCCATTCCTGCAGCACCCAAGCCCAGTGTTCTGACCATCTCTGGGATGGCAGAACTCAAGGGCACCTGAGTCAAGGTCGCTGCCACCTTTATCTGAGACTCAACGTGAATGTTGGCTACTTGGAACAGAAAGGGCATATTCTGCGAGAGACTGTGCTGCTTCAACTCTGGAGAAGCAAGGTGGCTCTGGAAGTGGGCCATGGGGCTGCAGCACCTATGTGGCTGTCACTGGATCTTGTCAGATAATAGCAAGGTGAACAAGAAGAGAAAGCTCCCAAGGAAGGTAGCTGGGGCTCTCCCCAAAGTTCCCGTCTTTCCTCCTGCTCTGCTTAGAAGATGTTCCTAGTTGTCTTTTGGCCTTGAACAGGCAGAACTGCCTCAATGAGATGGGGTAGTCAGGGCATGGGCTGAGTGTGAACCGAGCTTCTAGAAAGGGCAAGCAGAACCCCCTGACTCCGTTCCCAGCTCAGTATTAGCCTTACTTCAACCTAGTAAATGAGCCGCTGAATCTCACACTTTGCTCTCCCCTTAGCCCGGTACTAAGACCTTTGTTATAGAGGTCTCCACCTTTACTCCCAAGAAGATCCCGGGAATGCATTAGTTAGAAATCTCCTTTGATAGATAACCAAATGGTGAAACACTCCCACTAATTAATGTATCTCTCTCTCTTATCCCAGACATACATACATTGTCTGGTGCTAGTGGATTATGCTGATATCTTTTTCTGAAGCCAGTATCTGTTCATATCAACCTCAGATAGATTTGGATTAACAACAGAAACAGGAAGGCATTTGCATTTGGACGAGTTATTTTGAACTTTCCAGCCCTCCACCTGTTTAATTGGGTACAGAGTTCTGTGTGGTTGTCCAGCTTCACCATATGGGCACATCGCAAAATACACACACAAGACTACCCAACAGCTCCACAGGAATGTGAGATACTGTGGGTCATCAGAGCAGACTGCTACTCAAATAAATTTTTACTGAGTCTCCTGCATTTATGCAATTCACAAACTTGGGAAATCAAAATTTCAGATGTTACACTTGACAAAAGGGGATGGCTATCAATTCCACATACTGATGTCAGTCCAAGTACTTGTAAAGAAGTGATAATAGACTCATCAGGCCTGGTGCTCCTCTCCTTGCAGAGAGAATACATGCACCGAGCTGAGGCTGCAGATATTTACATACATTTGATCTGGTTTGAAGACACACTTAAGAACTAACGAACCATTTCACATTGGTATGTTTATCAAGCACAGAGAAGATACCATTTGGGGATAGACAGATGGTTACAGTTGATAAATAATAAGAAATTCTTTAAACTTCTTTACTTGAGCGATTACATTGGCCAGCAAAGAAGCCCTGAAAAGTTCACTTAGGGACCAGAAATTGTTTCCATTCTGTCTTACATTCTCAAATTAGGAAATAATACTCTAATTTATTATGAACAACAGTCAGGATCTTTATAAATCTTGTTATGAATCATTGCCCTGCCTTTATTTTAAACAGTCAACATGTTTTAAATTGGAAGAATGTCATCTGAAAAAATTACATTCTAATGTGTAATGGATATTTAAAAAATATTCTAATGTGTAGGGATACTAGGAAAATACTAGTTACCTACTTACTCCAACTTTGGTGTATGAGAATTTTTGAGATTGTGAATCAAAATCAAAATAAATTTACTCTATTCTCTTTCTTCCCACTCTAAATGTAGCCTGTAGCAACTTAGGCAAACACAGGCAGGAGAGCATCAAAGTTCTATGCATTTGTGTGCAAAATGTGCATGCATGCATGACTCTTACTGTATTTGTATTTATGTCTCTTCGGTAATGACACTAAACACTGAATTGCATAAGAAACCTTCTCTATACGTTTCCTCTTTTAATGGCCTATGTTTTTCCACAAAATTCCACCAGGTAAAACATGTCTCATGTCTTTCAGATAAATATTTCCAAGGAGATGGTTATTTTTTTTTACAGTCATGGCGCTGATGCTTCTTCTTAGTGTCATGTTACCAGACAGCGCATCACATCATCTTCCTGGTCATATTTCTATGGTGGGCATTTCTAGATGTTGCCCAGGCCTCATGTCCTTCCCTTCCCACCCTCTCCTTCCATAGGCCTGTCCTCCCAACCATTTTGGCTACTGCTTCACTACTTGAAATAGGTTGTGTTTCCATGAATCTGGGTCAGGCTAGTCTTTAAGATCTCTCTCAATATGCTGGGTATGAGGATGGTTTCAAGAGCTTGAGGCAGAAGTGATGGAATAGGGGAGTGAAAAATAAATGGCAGGAAACCTGGCAGAAAAGCCCGGAAAGTGACAGGAATAGGTATACCCCAGATCTGAAAGCGAAAAGAAAAGCTGGTGAGGGGCCGGAGGAGGGAATCCTGACCTGAAAGCAAGCTCTCAATTCAGTTCAGAAGCCTCCTCCTCTGCGGCCCAGTCGCTGTCTTCGGTCCTGAAAAAAATCTCGTCCCCGCCCCAACACCTCCTCTACTGACCGAAGTTCCCGTGGCCAGAATCCCAGTCGCCTTTGGCGTTCTGGCCGTTCATTTGCTTGGAGAAAGTTTTCCCTCTTTGCCCGCTTTTCTAAGGCAGAGGGATAGCGCTCTTGAAGCAATTCCAGGAGTCTCAGTCCCTTCCCTAGTTGGCCCTGTCGCACCCCACGGCCTTCGCAGTTCGCTGGCTCAGGATAAGCGCTCTGCGGCCGGGCTGGGTCCTGCACACACCATTTGCTGCGACGCGGAGTGACGCTGGCTCCCGGACCCCAGTCCAAAGGCCTGGGGGCCGCTGACCGCCTACGCTCTGTTCCAGGGAGGCTGTCCTGTGGATAAGACGCACAGAAACCAGTGCAGGGCGTGTCGGCTGAAGAAGTGTTTGGAGGTCAACATGAACAAAGATGGTAATCAGTACATCTTTTTATTCTTCTAATGTTGGTTGAGTAGTAAGGAAATTATATGTACAGAAAACACATGGCACGCCTATGCATGTAAATCATCGCACCAGCCCTGCTGTCCAGATGCTGGGGGGGGGGGTGGCCGCGGGCTGTGAATCTTATCCTTCCTCTTTCTGCATGAGCCCCTACTCGACCACCTTGAACTTCCAAGGCCCCAGCCCACGTAGAAAACCACAGCCACCCCTGCGAAGGCAGAGCTCCCGAGCACCCCCACTGTGGTATGAGTGTGCTATACTGCGTGCCTTGCGCCCTAATCTCTCGTCTCCACTCTCCTTGAGGTCCTTCCTTTGTGGCCACACCTAAACCTGTTAGACTCCCCCAGAATCCAACAGTCCAAACAGTCTCCTCAGGAGGAGATTGTGGGGGTTGGGAGACGGTGTGTTGGGAGAGGACAAAACGGAAACAGAAAAATTCACAATTTCGAGCCCTTGTTTGCAAATTCGCCAAACCAAAAAAACAAACGCACTGCCATCAAATTGACTCCGATTCATAGCGACACTATAGGACAGAGTAGAACTGCCTCATAGTTTCCAAGGTTGTCAATCCTCACGAAAGTAGACTGCCTCATCTTTCTCTCCCAGAGCTGCTGGTGGGTTAGAACCGCCGACCTTTTAGTTAACCTCATCCTTTAACCACTAAGCCACCGGAACTCTGTTGCAGGTTTACCAAGATACCAAAATCTGCATGGCCCATGTGCCGAGGTGGGCTTTGCTAGGACCTCCGCTCGATTCCACCGAAAGGAAAGAAAGGAGGCTGGGGAGGCAGGGTGACGACTGTGGGTACCCAGCTCCAGGAGGCTGTTACACGCTCCCGGCAAGAACTAGGAAGTCAAGATGCGTCCCTAGCGGAAAGCGCAGTCCCCGCTGCGTTTCAGTCCCGCCTGATGAGGGCGCCCCTGGCCGTGACAGCAGGGGTGGGGGGGGGCAGTGGGCTAGGAGGCGGGATGGGGCCTCCCTCGAACCAGATGCCTAAGGGCTTTGCCGTGCCTGCAGCCGGGGCTGGTGGTAGCTTCACGGTGCACAGTGCCCAAGCGGAGAGAGCCTTCCTCTACGCACAGGAAACAGGAGGGAGCGGCCAACCTGTTGAACTTGTGTATTGACAAGTTGTCAAGCACCGCGAGCAGAAGATTGCCCTGAGTTAATTTGTTTGTTTAAACTGTTGGTGGTAATTGTCGCATTCCCCTTTCTTTCCTTCAGCACACTCGGAGACGGGCTCTCCCTGTCCCCTCTCCCAGACTTTCTGGGGCTCGGGTCCCTTTCTGCTACGGCCTTAGATGGCCAAACCTAGTTCGCGGGGTCGAGGCAGGAGAGCCAGGAGTCATCGTTAGGCGGAGCAGCAACTGTCCGTTCAGACTCTGCAGCTCTTCCTCTCCCATTCGATGGGGGACAATGGGGATGAGGGCTCCCGAGCTACCCAAGTCCAGAAATCTCTGGTTTCTCTGCGACTCCCCTGGATAGGAAGGAACCCCGGACGGACAGAGAACACATTTAGTATGGCTTGTGGCCTCGGCCATGATCGTGGGACGTTGGACACGCGCTCCTCTAATTATTCCCAGCTTCCTCATCTATTCACGTAGGAGGCAAACCATCTTAGAGCGCTTTCTGCCCTCCCATTCCTCTCCCTCGTGGACGCAGCTGTCATCTTGTGTCTGATCTCAGGCATGCGTCTGTCGGTCTGTCTTTGCAGCGGTGCAGCACGAGCGCGGGCCTCGGACGTCCACCATCCGCAAGCAAGTGGCCCTCTACTTCCGCGGGCACAAGGAGGAGAATGGCGCAGCCCCGCACTTCCCCCCGGCCGCACTGCCCGCACCAGCCTTCTTCACTGCGGTCACACAGCTGGAGCCGCACAGCCTGGAGCTGGCTGCCGTGTCCACCACCACCCCTGAGCGGCAGACCCTTGTGAGCCTGGCTCAGCCCACGCCCAAGGTCAGTAGCCTTGCTGGGCCCAAGGAAAGCTATGCGGTGCAGAAGGGATGGGATCTGGCAAAAGCTGGAGGGGCTTTGCCAGGTGTTCTCGGCTCTGCGTGGCGCTCTAGGCCTCCTGCTCTCCCCTTTAAGACAGGGATGCTCAAACTTTAGTGTGCAGGAGAGTCACTTCCCTGACCTGGCTGGACATGTGAACTCCCAAACTCACCTCTCAGAGCTTCTGTTTCAGCAAATTTGAAGTGGGACCCAGGAACCTACCCAAGAAAACACCCTTGGGTGATTGGGTGGCTGGTACAGCCCTGTCTAAAGCCAGAGGGCAGCTATTGGTGTTCCTAGAGTCTAGAAGAACAGACTTTTGTTTTTAGAAGAAAAGAGCTGACCACTACTGGCTGGAAGGACCCTTCAGTTCCTGATGACAGGGATCCTAATGCAAGAGAGAAATGTAGACCTCATACTGTTAGGGTGGTTTGAAGGACCTAGCTTGATTTTCACTCACCTCTCACTCTGTTGAGCCACTTAGATTTATACCAGGATTGAGCTCCTAAAGTCAGGGCCACTGCCTGAACCACCTCAAAAGGCTGCCACCCAGGGACTGCCCTCCATGCTTCCTGCTGGCACCCATCCAACCCCTCTCCAGGGCAAGGGAGAAGGCCTAGGATCTCCCCCAGAGGAGGGCCAGCTGCAGCCCCACACTGCAGGGAAGCCAAACACCTGGGCACATGCACACGCACAATATTTAATATTGCTTTCTTACCCTTGATATGTATAATAAGCTCTGGAAAGTAGTGTTATGAATATGTTGTCAGTTATGAATGGGAATGCTCTGTGAATGATTAAGATGTCTAATTGAAATATTTCCATAATATACTAATCCTTTCTAAAAATACTCATATGCATATTTGTGTTTGGGATGCCTATTAATTTATACTTTTTTCACATCTATTTTTATTTACACAAATACAAGCAGTTCTTGTCTAAATTGGGAGCCAGGCCTGGCACTTGGCTCAGCCTGGGAAAAATTTGCTGTAGGGGATAGGAAATCCAGATGCCCTGTCTAAGGAACAGGTCCCCAAAGAGCAGAAGTGGGCCTCTCCCAACCATTTCTGTTTCTGAAGCTATACAGATAGAGATGTTTAGTTTTTGCTCACCTGTGGCAACTGCACATTTAAACAGAACATTGAAATTCCTTCTTTGTTCTAACTAGACAATTAAAAGATTGGCTTTTCTAGCAAAGCTGTGGTTTCCTTACTTCCCAGTGTTTTTTTTGTTTCCTCCTTCCCAGTACCCTCATGAAGTGAATGGGACTCCCATGTATCTCTATGAGGTGGCCACGGAGTCTGTGTGTGAATCAGCTGCCAGGCTTCTCTTTATGAGCATCAAGTGGGCCAAGAGTGTGCCAGCTTTCTCCACGCTGTCTTTGCAAGATCAGGTACCACCAAGAGGACACTCAGGTCTTGGGGAGGAATGGTTGGGAAAAAAGTAACAGTAAACAGTCTAATAAAACCAGAAGTTACCTGGATAAAAATCACCAAGGCCAGGTGTCAGTTCTTGAAACTACTTTTACTAGCCTTTTTTTCTGTGTGTTCAAATTATATAACTATGGAATCTGTAGTAAGAAATGTGATTATCTTGTCTCAGGAAAGCGGAATCTGGTCTAAAAAAAAAAAAACAAAACAAAACACCCAAATAACACATAGGAACATTATACATATTTTTCAGTTGAATTGAAACATCAAATTTAATCTCAAATAAAATTATATCTTAATACATTTTAAAATTGTTGAGAAAGCAATGCTTTTTTTAAAAAAAACAAATTTTTTAGTAATTTGAGTGAAAGTTTACAGAGCAAATTGGTTTCTAATTCAACTGTTCATACATATTTTGCTTCATGACATTGAAAGAAGTCCCCACTCTTCCCACTCCCTCCATTTGTCCTTCTTTCCTATCCATTCCTGCCTTCTGAGCTTTTAAAGCAATGCTTTCTTAAAAGAGCATTAAAAAGAACCTTAAAAAAATATAAGGTGATGAGAATATTCTGTGATATTTTTGGAACTAGTCTCATTATTTTATATTTATAACTTTACATTCTCCATCTTGATACTCACAGTTGTGGCCATTGATTTTTCAGCTTGTAGGATCAAAGAGTGCATTGCCTGCCTCCTTTGGGCTAAAGTCTTTTTTGATTCTTCAAGTGCATTTAGAGATTTTGTAAACAAATAGGCATTTTGCATAATTCTGTGTTCTAAATAACATCCAGAGGGAAGAAAAGTATTGCTGCTAAAAACTGCCTCATTTCAAAAGCTAGACATTTTGTTGTTAGGAATATTAGAAATGGCCCCTACCAGCCATTTTTCTAACCTTAAAGGAAAGAAAGAAAATGAAGTATCCACAACCATTGGCTGTTATCAGTGCATTCACGGAAATTAATGACAAATTCTACAAAAGGCTGATAAGTAGTTCTAAAAGCAAAGGATTTGTTTCTTTAATTCATTTCATACCTAATTAAGGCATAATAATGCCCCTTAATCTGAAGTACATCTCCTACAGAGAAACCTGGCAATGTGCTAAAAACATTTAATCTCCTAGCATGGGATATTCTTTTTTTTTCATGACCTAGACTTTCAGAAATGGCCAGAGTTAGATAATTTTTTACTTTGAATTTTAAAAGCATTATTTCCTGTACTTAATGGAAGGGGGGGAACCAACCTAAAAATAAACAGTTTGAAAATTAAACCTTTTGATCTAATTGTAATTTTAGTTATGATCCTTCACTATTCAACTCCTAACTCCCAAAACAAAACACTTTCACATAGATTATCCAGAATTGGCTGATTTTAGAAGCATTTTTCAAAGATAGAGATTTTTTTAAGGTGGCTAGGTTCTATCTGTGACCAGATTTACTGGTTGACTCTAACCATTTGTTGTATGTCTGTGAGTGTGTGTGTATGTAAATTGGCTATATTTTTTTTTCTAAAAACAAGTATTTGTAAACTCTTTAATCCAAACAAAAATCTATTTAATGTCTGCCACTTCATTCTTTGGTGGAAATCCTTTAATAACAAGCAAACTGCAGTGAAGTGAGATCCAGTATATTAATTTGGAAACAGAACCAGATTATTTTAAATATTCAGTACTATACTTTATTAGAATGAAAATGACAAGCACCTTGATGCTGTCCACTTATGAGTCTCAGAAAAATCAGACAGTAAAATGAGGTAAACTCAGCAAAACCTGATTAACATAATTACACCCTGATTTCCAACAACCCCCAACCCCTGTCTCTTGGGAATTAGTGATCTCTCTCTCTCTCTCTCTCTCTCCCAGCCCAATCTCCTCAGTCTTCCATGAAGATGGGGGCCCAGATCTGCAGGCTTAGTCTGAAATCCTTCACTCTGATAACATCAACATTTTATATGAGAGGGTCAGCCTGCTGCAATGTGGTGGCATTTCATAGAGCCTGGGTCTCAGATGAAGTTTCTAGATGGTCAGGACTTAGTAGATACAAGGACAAGAGGTGTAAACCCTTTCCCTTGGGAAGCAAACTTTGGGGCTTTGGAATGGCTGACTCTCAAATGCGTGTGTTTATCTATAGGCACCTTTTCAAAAAGAGTAAAGGAAAGCTAGAATATTCAGATTTTTTTTTTTTTTTTACTAAGACAGGCATTTAAAACACTTTTTAAAATAATGGAAATTTACATGCTGAAATTGTTTATAAATTTATAAATTACATGCTATATTATATTATACATCTATTGTATGACAGCTGATGCTTTTGGAAGATGCTTGGAGAGAACTGTTTGTTCTAGGAATAGCACAATGGGCCATTCCGGTTGATGCTAACACTCTACTGGCTGTATCTGGTAAGAATTGCACAATTTAATGACTTTGTTGTAGAAATTACCATAAAAATACATTACTGAAAAAAGAACAACATGTAAAGAATAACAAATTCCTGCTGAACAATAGAGTATACCTGTCATTTATAAATCTATATTTAAATGCAAATAATGTTGTTTTGTTGCATTCATGACTGCTTGCATTGTTATTTAAATGCAAATTACTGTGTTTGTTATCATCCAAGAGAAGATTTTATATTAACTTTCATACAATATAGCCAGTTTACATGGAATCAGATATCTTAGAGTGACAATTGAATAGATATTGATATGCAGGAGTTTGTCAAAAATCAATATTAAATCATGAAAATGCCTTCATATTAGAGCATTTATTCCATATTTTCATTCTAGGCATGAATGGTGACAACACAGATTCCCAGAAGCTGAACAAGATCATATCTGAAATACAGGCTTTACAAGAGGTGGTGGCTCGATTTAGACAACTCCGCTTAGATGCTACAGAATTTGCCTGTCTCAAATGTATTGTCACTTTCAAAGCTGGTAAGCAGACACAAACCCCTGCTTGCCTTCCCCAGTTTTGCCACTTCACTCATTCAGCCATCTCTTGCAGAAGGAGGTGATGATTTTGAAGGAAGCTGACACTGCTAGTCAGGACCCCATTTTCAATAATTGTAGGGACCTGCATGTTTTCTGGCTGGCCACCCACTTTTCCATCTGCATTCCCTGTGCCGCAGATCACAGTTTTGTGTTCTTCCTTTCTAGTTCCTACACATAGTGGTTCTGAGCTGAGAAGTTTCCGGAATGCCGCTGCCATCGCAGCTCTTCAAGATGAGGCTCAGCTAACTCTCAACAGCTACATCCATACCAGGTGACCCCCCATTGGCCTTGAATGTGCACTTAAGAAAATTGCTTCCATTGTGAATGTGTGAGCAGGCAGGAATGAGCCAGTTCAAACATTGTGACTAATTATCCTTTTGCCAGACAGTTAAATTTTGTTAGAATTTATTCCCTCACCTATCTCTCAAGGTGAGTGAGAGGAGCATATCAAATTATATTATCAGTGAAAGCATTGCCAGACACATCACAGCTGTCCTAGTGGACAAGTCTATCCTTCACAATAAGTGAACATAATTGTGTGAATGGACCCAGATATGGGAAGGGTCAAAAATGAAGGCCAGAATCATGGCTGATAGATCAGAAAATGGCCAAATCATCCTTTAAAAAAGGCAGGTGTCTTCCTTTGGGCGCCAATCCCAAATAGAATAAACTAGACAGCTGTCCAGAGAGCCATTCCTTGTCCTTGTGGTGGCTTTGGCGAATGGTATTTGGTGACTGGTATTTGCAATTTTGAATCATGTTGTTGTTGCTGGCTGCTGTCAAGTTGGTCCCTGACTCATGCCAATGAGATGGGACTATTGTGATCTGTAGGGCTTTCACTGGTGGAATTTTTTTGGAAGTAGCTCACCAGGCCTTTGCTGTCTTAGTCTAGAAGGTCTCCAGAAATCTGTTCAGCGTCATAGCAAAATGAAAGCCTCCATTTATAGATGGGTGTGGCTGTGTTTGAGGTATACCAGCTGGGAATTGAACCTAAGTTTCCCACATGGAAGGTGAGAATTTTGCCACTGACCCACTACTGCCCTCACTCTGAGTCATAGCACCAGATTACTCTGGTCTCTCAGGGCCCACTGGGGGAAACTTGTCTTGGCTATTCACAGACATTTTCAGCCACTGGGACTCCAGCAATGCTCCTTCCAGTCTACTATTGGACAAGTCCACCAAGAGGGATAGGATTTCTGATTCCATTTTCAGATGAAAGAAGCAAAGCTTTGAAAGAGCAGTAGAATCTCTCTAGCCTGCTAGGTTAGGACTGTGGTAAATCCGAGGCTAGAATGTAGTTGTTATTGTTTAATCTCTAAGTTGATCTTGAAGGGGTGCCCATGGAAGCCTGTCTCTCTCATCTCAACACTGTGCTGAGAACAAGTAAACCAAATGATTATAGGCCCATTAATGCCTCTCTCACTTAATGGGTCATAGAAAGCCCAAGTCAGCTGTATCCATTTAGGGTGATACCACTTCTGCTGCAAAACCAAACCAAACTCACTGTTATCCAGTCGATTCTGACCCACAGTGACCCCCATTGGGTTTCCAAGGCTGAAAATCTTTACAGAAGCAGACTGCATCATCTTTCTTTCATACAGTGGCTGGTGAGTTCAAACAACCAACCTTTTGGTTAGCAGCTAAATGTCTTAACCACTACACCACCACAACACCTTCCACTTCTGCTGGGCTCTACATATTTCCATTATAAATCCTCTTTTGAATACTGAATGAATATAAGTTCTCTGTTTATGGAATATCACTGAAATTGCATTAAATGACAGCACATATATGCTTTTCCAGATTAAAATGCCAAACAAATAAAGTGCCATTGTTTTTAATTAAAATTCACATTGGATTTCAGAATATAGATGTTGTAGTTAGCTGTCATAGATAAGAGTTGGCCCTGCCTCATGGCAACCCCACACACAAACACAATTGGACCCAGAAAGTATATAAAAATCTTTGTTGCTGTCAAGTTGATTCTGACTCATAGTGACTCTAGAGGACAGAGAAGAACTGCCCTAAAGGACTCCCCAAATTGTAAATCTTTACAAAAACAGACTGCCACATCTTTCTACTATGGAGTGGCAGGTGAGTGCAAACCAGGACTTTGAACTGGTTCATTCTGTTTGAACCTACTGCTGAGAATTTTCATTTTCACTCCAGATATACTGAATCAGAACGTAAATTTTAACAAGACCCCCAAGATTCCTAGGTATACAACACCTGGGGGTCTTGTTAAAATTTAGGTTCTGATTCAGTATATCTGGAGTGTAAATGAAAATTCTCAGTAGGGGGTTGAACTGGAGTGAACCAGTTCAAAGCCCAGTTTGAACTGCAGACCTCTCAGTTAGCAGCCAAGTGCGTGGCTCCTCAGAATGTATATAGTAGGCACATAATATTTATCCATAATTATAAGTGGAGCAGTACATAATTTATGTACTTTATCCCCACTAAAAACTATCTTGTATTTCATAGCTGAGCTTTGATCTTTAGAACAATGGTGGTATGAAGAATCTCAAGCTGAGAAGAATATGAGATCCAGTTATTGGTTCAGTCAAGCCTTTCCCTGGGACTCACTCTGGGCAGGGCTCCCAGTGGGTACTGTGGAGCACCAGAAAGAACCAGACACCACTGCTTTCCATCACATGAGCTAGACTGAAGTGTTACTCTGATTCAGACTGCAGAAGAGCGGAAAGCAAAATGGGGAGTGGGAAAGGCAAGTTCTAATCGGAGGGGATGAGAGAAAAGAGGAAATCTGAAAAAGGTTGCTGGAGGAGACGACATGTGACTTAGTCCTTGAATAGTAGAAGGGCTTCAGCAGGAAGAGAGGTGCAGTGGGAGTCAGTAGTGGTGCTGGTGAAGAGCCCTGGTGGGGCAGTGGTTCAGCACTTGGCTGCTAACCAAAAGGTCAGTGGTTTGAACCCACCAGCTGCTCAGCAGGAGAAAGTAGCAATCTGCTTCTGTAAAGATCCTCCTGGAAACCCTACGGGGCAGTTCTACTCTGTCCTGTAGAGTTGGTATGAGCTAGGATCACCTGCCCGACAATGGGTGGTAGAAGGGTGTGGGAGGTGCTGGAGAAGCAGATAGGGAGAGAATCTGAGAGAGCCTGAAGGAGCTGCTTGTAAGGTGACCTGAGAGAATTAAGGCACAAATTAATAAACATCTATTTTAGAGAAACTCCAAGTATACTACTTCTCCCCTGGCCCCAAAACAAGGAAATTTGTGTGGAAGGGACATATCTGCTATGACACGGAATTCGTATTTCAGAATGGCAGCTACAGCTGTAATTTAACATGACTATAAGGCACTTGACTGCTAACCAGAAGGCTGGCAGTTCAAACCCACCAGCCACTCCTTGGAAGGAAGGTTGGGCAATCCTACTTCCGTAGTGATACTGCCTCGGAAACCCAAGGAGGGGTCGCTATGAGTCGGGGCCGACTCGATGGCAAACAACAACAACAACATCAAGAGTCATGCATGTGACAAAACTGACTATGCTTTTTTTCTCTGCCATTTCAAATCACTGAACACTCTTTCCACTAGCACTTTCCTGTCTAGAAAAACAAAATCTGAAGTTGAAATGAAAAGTGAACTTGCCAGTTGAGCTAACTGTACATTACTGTTCTGTAAGCTGGTTCGCTCATTAGGACATCAGGAGAAGGGATGATCATAATGCTAGCAATTAGCATTTCACACAAACTATACATTATAACTAAAGATTAAATACATGAAGCTGTGGTAGACCAGAAGCACTCATACCTGGAGAGAGAACTTCCAATTACCCTGCTAATGGATGGAGTCAAGGGCATAGACATTCTAAAAATTTTGAGCAGTCCAAGACACTGTCTCTTTCTCACACATACCTTGTTAATGTTTCTTGGTAGTACCATGCTCCACGTAGAATAGCCACTCAGTTCTTATTAATTGACTAACCAGCCCCTTCCCAAGGAGAGAATAAAAAAGGTGGATGAGTAGACAAGTGAATAACCTACTCGCAGAAAATCAAGAGCTAATTGTCCATGGATTCTCCAGAATCTTCCATTTCTGAAAGTAATTCTTTCCCACAGCGGTTTCTCACCATGTGAAGCTTTCAGCATGTTGGGGGGAGGCTGCAGAAGTGGTAGAGACTTGTTTAGGCAGTCAGCACCTCCCACCCACTGTAGGGCGGTGTCCTCTCTGCCTGATCTTCTAGAGGGAAACAGAGCTGTTGAAGAGGGGATGTGGCCAAGATGAAAAGGAGATTGTTGTTGTTGTTATGTGGCATCGAGTTGGCCCGACTCATAGTGACTCCTCCTTGGGTTTCCGAGGTAGTATCACTACGGACTTAGATTGCCCAACCTTCCTTCTGAGGAGATTGGGTCCTGTGATTTCAAGGAACAAAGGCAGTGTACTCAGCAAAGAGAACCAGTGCCAGAATTTAGGCATTTAAAAAAAATGTATATAAGCTTTGCCATTTCCATACCACATTATTAAATATGTTCTGTTGATCCTTATTCCTGGGTGCTCATGAGGCTGGGCAGTGAAGGAGCCAAATGAGGTTCTTAGAGGCTCACAATGAGCCTAGTAAGAGTCCCTGGATAGTACAAATAGTTAATGGCTCATTTGCTGGTTGGAGGTTTGAGTCCATCTGCGGGTGCCTTGGAAGATAGCCTAGTGATCGACTTCTGAAAATCCTGTGGAGCACAATCCTACTCTGACACAGATGGGGTCACTACGAGTCAGCACTGGCTTGATAGCAACTGGTTAGTTAGCATCAGGTTGAGGAGAGGGAATCTCAAGTGCTCAAAACTTAGAGATAAGCATGAAAGCTGCTCTCTTGGAGGGTGAAGTTGTCAGGCCGTTAACAGCGTTCATCTAGCTAACTTCTTTGAAGGAATTTTGATATACCTCAGTTTCTAGCACCTTGTGGCTATGGATTGAACCTATCTTAGTCACAAAACCTGTCATAGTCACCAATGTGTCTCGTTGGGCACTTTTTGGGAGCTCGGTAGTGTAGTGCCTAAGGCATTTGACTGCTAACCAGAAGGCTGGCGGTTCAAACCCACCATCCACTCCTCGGAAGGAAGGTTGGGCAATCTACTTCCGTAGTGACATTGCCTCAGAAACCCAAGGAGGGGTCGCTATGAGTCAGGTCCGACTTGATGGTAGTAGGTGGGGGCACTTTTTTAGGTGGTTTGTTTCAGTGAAGTGAGCCCTCCTTGTAGACTGTATTGATACCTGATTCTAAGCTGTTGGCTAAAGAAGTACCAGGGCTGCAATAAGGGGTGGCTTGCAGGCATCCAAGGCAGCAGAAAATTGAACTTGCACATTGGAGCACAGATATGTGTTGGGCCTCAAGAGAGGAAATTGTTAAGCAATTTCTTACATCTTTAATTATATGCCAATTTCATTGACATGAAAGTTGTGTGGCAGTGCCACCCAACAGAACTTAGTATTTAATTTGCAGTATAATAAGGATGGAATTATTCCTGCGAGCAACGAAGTATAATGCCTGAATAATAATTTGGAGAATTTCTTAGAAAAAGAAGCCATCTTATTTGAGGGATAGCCTTGTGAAGAATCCTGAGAATCAGAAATCGTGGATTCTGTTGCTAGCTTTATCATCAACACCACAGAAGTTTTCTACGCTGGCAACCATAAACATATCATTTGGCTTAAAATTAATACCATGTTTCTTAAAATTGTTTTCTCTCCAAACAAAATGCAACTCTGTGGCTAGTACAGAAAGAGTTACCATATGTGTTTTGGCAAGATCACTTAAGTTGTCCATACCTCAGTCATTCTATCGGCAAAACAGAGCTAGTAGTACCCATCTACTAGAGGGATAGTGTGTTGTTGTTGTTGTTAGTGCTGTCAGGTTGGTTCGGACTCATAGTGACCCAGTGTACAACAGAATGCAACACTGCACTGTGTGCCATCCTCACAATCACTGCTATGTTTGAGTCCATTGTTGCAGCCACGGTGTCAATCCATCTTGTTGAGGGTTTTCCTCTTTTTTTTACTGACTCCACTTTGCCAAGCGTGATGTCCTTCTCCAGAGACTGGTCCCTTCTGATAACATGTCCAAAGTAAGTAAGATGAAGTCCTACCATCCTCACTTCTGAGGAGAATTTTGGCTGTACTTCCTCAAAGACAGATTTGTTCATTCTTCTGGCGGTATTCTTCAGCAATGATATAATTCAAATGCATCAATTCTTCTGTGGTCTTCCTTATTCATTGTCCAGCTTTCAAATGCATATGAGGCGATTAAAAATACCATGGCTTGGGTCAGGTGCACCTTAGTCCTCAAAGTGACACCTTTGCTTTTTAACTCTTCAGTGAGGTCTTTTGCAAGATCTGCCCAGTGCAATACATCTGTTTGATTTCTTGACTGCTGTTCCCATGAGCATTGATTGTGACCCAGTAAAATGAAATCCTTGATACTTTAATACTTTCTGTTTATCATGATGTTGCTTATCAATCCAATTGGGATGATTTTTGTTTTCTTTATGTAAAGATGTAATCCATTCTGAAGTCTTTGATCTTCATCAGAAAATGCTTCAAGTTCTTTTCACTTTTAGCAAGGAAAATTTGTGTTACAGTTTTAAAATGTGCATATCACAGTTTGTTCATGAGTCTTCCTCCAATCCTGATGTCACATTCTTCTTCATATATCCTAGCTTCTTGTATTATTTGCTCAGCATACATATTGAATAAGGTGAAAGAATTCAATGCTGACTCACACCTATACTGATTTTATTTTATTTTTTTACTTTTTGTTATGATTTGGGTGAAAGTTTACAGAGCAAATTGGTTTTCCATTGAACAATTCTTACACATTTTGTTTTGTGACATTGTTAGTAATCCCTCCAGTATGACAGCACTCTTTCCACTTCTTCCATGTGTTTCCTGTTTCTATGTGGCCTTCTTTTATACCCCTTCCTGCCTTCGTCCCTGGGCAAATGATGCCATGTTGATCTTGTATGCTTGATTGTTCTAAGGAGCACATGCTTCTCTGGTGTTATTGTTCACCTTGACAAGCCTCCCTATTGTTTGGTTGCAGGTTGAGCCAGAGGGGTGAGTTCAGTTCCAGGCCTGAAGGGTATCTAAGAGGCGTAGCCTTGGGGGTTCTACCTGTCTCTATAGACCAGTAGGCTGGTCTTTAATGTTATTATTGTTATTTTGAGTTGTGTTCCACATTTCTCCCACTCTGTTCAGGAACACCTGACCTTTCCTCGTATTAAACCATGCAGTATCCCCTTGTTCTATCTGAACAACTGCCTCTAGGTCTGTGTACAGGTTCCACATGAGCACAATTAAGTATTCTGGAATGCTGATTCTTTGCAATGTTATCTATACTTTGTTGTGACTGACACAGTTGAGTGCCTTTGTGTACTCAATAAAAAAACAGGTAAACATCTTTGTGTTATTCTCTGCTTTCAGCCAGGATTTATCTGACATTGATATCAGCAATGATATCTTTCAATCCATATCCTCTTGAGTATCTGACTTGAATTTCTGGCAGTTCCCTGTTGTTGTACTGCTGCAGCTATTTAAAAATTATTTTCAGCATAATTTTACTTGCATATGATGATAATGATATTGTTTAATAATTTCCACATTCCATTGGATCACCTTTCTTTGGAACAGTCACATATATGGATCTCTTCCAATTGGTTGACCAGGTAGCTGTCTTCCACATTTCTTGACACAGATGAGTGAGCACATCCAGTATGGCATCCATTTGTTGAAACATGTCAGTTGGTATTCTGTCGATTCCTAGAGCCTTATTTTTCACCAATGCCTTTAGTGCAGCTTGCACATCTTAATTGCATGTTTGATAAATACCTGACTGCAGAAGTTGGTAAAAATTTTCAATTTCTTCATCTGTGGCATTAGTGTTTGGTGTGTAAATTTGAATAATAGTCATATTAACTGGTCTTCCTTGTAGGCATATGGATACTATCCTATCACTAACAACATTATATCTCAGGATAGATCTTGAAATGTTCTTTTTGACAATGAATGTGACATCATTCCTCTTCATTTTGTCATCCCTGGCATAATAGACTATATGATTATTTGATTCAAAATGGCCCATTTCAGCTCACTACTGGCTAGGATATTGATCTTCAAGTGTTCCATTTCATTTTGACATCTTCCAGTTTTCCTAGATTCATACTTCATACAACCCACGTTCCAATTTTTAATGTATATTTGTAGCTATTTCTTTGCATGTTGAATCGTGCCACATCAACAAATGAAGGTCCTGAAAACTTCACTCCATCCACATCATTAAGGTCAACTCTGCTTTGAGGAGGCAGCTCTTACCCAATTGTATTTTGAGTTCCTTCCAACCTGAGTGGCTCTTCTTTTGGCACTGTATCAGACAGTGTTTCTCTGCTATCCACACAGTTTTCACTGCCATTTTTTCATTAGGTTCTTCTTCCCAGTTAGTCTTAGTCTGGAAGCTCTGCTGAATGCTGTCTACCCTAAGTAACCCTGCTAGTATTTGAAATAACTGTGGCATAGCTTCCACAACAACAACATGCAAGCCACCATAGTACAACTGACAGACAAGTGTAATAAGAGCTCCAAATCTGGAAATTATACCGGATATTATGTATGTTATGAAGTATATGATATTAGTTATCATTAGTAATAGTCTCTGACCTTGTTTCCATGGTGTCTCATATTTCAGATATCCCACTCAACCCTGTCGCTTTGGAAAACTCCTGTTGCTTCTGCCAGCTTTACGTTCCATTAGTCCATCAACCATAGAAGAAGTGTTTTTCAAAAAAACCATCGGCAATGTGCCCATTACAAGACTGCTTTCAGATATGTACAAATCCAGTGATATCTAAGTTCTAAAAGTACCCACTTTTCAGAATGAGACAGTATCAGATGAAGCCATGAAGAACAGGCCTCAACTAACAAACCCTTCAGGAAGCAGAAGCCTGGGAATGTGTTGCCTTTAGGGGGAAAAAATGCCAGTCAACACAAAACAAGTCCAGTAGCTCTGTTCTGCCTCCACCAGTGTAGGGCAGCCCAGAAGGAAAGGGATTGGAAGGGGACGGCCTGAGCAGAGACCTCATGGCTGCCATGCCCTGGGCGTGGAGTGCAGTCAGAGTTGCCACAGTCTGTGTCATTCTGCCTCTTACCTGGAAGACTGGCTGAACTACCAAAAGCTGAAAAACAAGTAGTACTTTCTTTTCCTTCCTGGCTTGTAAAGTTGGGGAATCAAACATTGTTCTGTGTATAACATCATGCAGCAGCCTTCAGAAAGATCTTATGTTGGAGCATTTATTTTTAAAATAATGGTTAGGTTTTAAATAATTTTATCAAAAGCTTTCCTTCTATTGTAATACATCATGAAGTGGCCTTCAGAACTGAGTTAATAAGTGAAAAGTAGCTTATGCCATATGATTTGCTTTTTCCCTGTCTTTTTTTTTTTTCTTCTTTTTTCTTCCCTTCATTCTTTCTTCTTCTTTTTAATACCATAGGCCAGGCAACCTTTTCAAAGGAATTGGTGGATGAAAATGACATTCTCACCAGGACTTCAAGTTGGATAACATTTCAAAAATAGAAGAGCTTTACTAAAAGAACACAGTCGAGGGAGGGTGAATAAAAACAGCAAAACCAAATAGAGTGGAGATGAGTGGTTGAGTGAGACAGATTGCTGTCCTATTAACATAGTGCTGAAACCAAAGGCAATGGAGGTCCCAACTCATTCTTTGACGAGTCACATCAGATAGTGAATGAACATAGACATAATGCCAGACGGGACTTCAAGGAGATGAACGCTAAAAGGTTTCTTTATTGGTCTATTGCTAACAGTCTGAGACTCTTCAATGCCTTTCAGAAAACCCTGGTTTCTAGTAAAGCCTTGGTCACGTGCACACACACACACACACACACACACACACTGTCCCACACTATAAGCTGCTCCTTTGGTATGAATCTATACTTATGGAAATGTAGACACAAGCATTTAAAAATAGCTGCTGTACTTTTCACATTTTGATTTATTAGGTACTAGCACTGAGAAAAAAAATCAGCACTTGGACTATCATAGGATGAATAAAACTTTTCTTGTACAAAGTGAATTAACTGATTTGTGAAGTTAAAAAGTTGTACTCATTGTATTTACAAAGAATAAAAATATATTGAATTTAAATGAGCTTTGCTTGATGTCTTAGCTTACCTTCCTGGCTGGTCTCACCCACAAGATACAAGATGGCAGCAGCAGCTGGTGTTAAATCTGAAGCTCAGAGCCTGAAGAACTGAACTACAAAGGCAATTTCCTTTTTACAGTGAATCCCATTTGTAAAATGATGAATAAAGGAATAAAACATCAGATTCCGTGCTCTCCAGCTCTCAAATGTAATTGCATCTGTTAGAAAAAAATTGCTGTGTTAGGAAGAAAGAGGCCAATTAACAGAGTCTTCATTCACTTCTCTGTTTCTAACTCTCCTGCCAACATTTCAGTCCTGACCAGGAACCTGAAATCATTTAATGATCAGAAAAATAAAGCATGAAGAACTATATTGGTGAGGAAGATGTAGAAGGAGCAGTAGAAAGAGCATCTGGATGTTCTCAGAAAATTGTAGAGCACTGGCCCCACAGCTAGAAGCAGGGTGGAAACCAGAGGTGCCAAAGGTTGTGAGTGCTCTGGGCTCCTACTGGGTGGCAGCTCCAGCAAGGGTCTGGGGCAGAGACACAGGCAACTCTTGGCCAAAATGACCTTGCTGATTACATGTGTGAAAGTTTGATCAGCCATGTACTCCTTGTCCACAGAAAATGAAAAGTTAAGTCTTAAAGAAAAGTGAGATACACAAAGATGTAACAAGAATGTTCATTGCAATGAATTGATATTTTTTTAAAATAAATGTCAACAGAGAATAGATATATCATGATATTTATCTACAATGTTGCAGTAGTTAAAGTGAATGGAGTAGAGGCAATGTATCAACCTAGGTAAATCTGGGATACAATGTGTATGTACGGGGTGAGCAAATTGCAGGATACGTACAGTTTGGTACCATTTATGTAAAGTTTTTATTTTTTATTGTGATTTTGAAGAAAGTTTACAAAGCAAATTTATTTTCTATATAACAGTTCATACACATTTTGTTTCATGACATTGATTGCAATCCCCACAATGCAACAGCTCTTTTCCCACTTGCTCCCTGTAGTCACCTCTTCCCTGTGTCCTTCTTTCTATGCATTCCTGTCCCCTGAGCTAGCTCCCTGTGCAAATTACTGCCCTTCTGATCTCCCATGCTTGATCATTCTGAGGAGTGCACTTATCTGGTGTAAATGTTCACCTTATAAGCTTGTTTGTTGTTTCGTTGGAAGCCACAGGAATGAGTTCAATTCCAGGCCTGAGAGTGACTAAAGGCCATAGTCTTGGGGGTTTCACCAGTTTCTCTCAGACCTGCAAGCCTGGTCTTTTAAATGATTTTGAGTTTTGTTCCACAATTTTCTCCCACTCTGTCCAGGATCTCCTACACTGATCCCTTTCTGACTGGACACTAGTAGCTGGATACCATCTACTTCTTCCGAACTTCTGGTCTCAGGTCATATAGGATGAGGTTCTCATGGTCCACTAGTCCCTTGGACTAAGTGTTTCCATATGTCTTTGATTTTCTTCATTCTTCTTTGCTCCAGATAAGGAGAGACCAATTGTTACATCTTAGATGGCTGCTTGCAAGCTTTTAAGACCCCAGTCACTACTCATCTTCTGCTGTTTGTGCATCTTATGTTTTGTAGTCTATTAATGCCATATATTAGGGCCCCTAAGTTTGCCCCTATTTTTTCTTTGATAGAATTTATAGTTTTAGGTTTTACATTTCAGTCTTTGATCCATCTGAAGTTAATTTTTGTGTATGTTGTAGGGTATGCATCTTTTGTTTGTTTGAATTTTTATTGTGATTTGGGTGAAAGTTTACAGAGCAAATTCATTTTCCATACAGCAGTTCATACACATTTTGTCTCATGACATTGACTGCAATTCTGTACAATGTAACAGCTCTCTTCCCACTTGCTCCGTGTAGTTACCTCTTCCCTGTGTCTGTCCTTCCCATTCATTCCTGCCCCCTGAACTGTCTCCCTGTGCAAACACTGCCCTACTGTTCTCCCTGATTGATCGCTCCAACTAGTGTATCTACCTGATGTAAATCTTCACCCCATATACCTATTGTTTGGCTGGAAGCCACAGGAGTGAGTTCAGTTCTAGACCTGAAGGGCAGCTAGAGGCCATCATCTCAGGGGTTTCACACCAGCAAACCTGGTGTTTTTTTTTTTTTTTT